TGCTGGGCAGCAATAATGTTAGTTAGCCACCCATTCTGTGAAGGAGGAGGACGATAGTCGGCTTTCCCATCCTCGAGGAAGGTCAAACTATCCCCATACTTTTTCCAGTGCTCTGTTTGGGGACTGTTATCGCTGAGTGGGCAACACAGTGTTTTCTGTTGTTTTTTTTTTTTTTTTTNTTTTTTTTTTTTTTTTCCCTGGATCAATGCTCTTTCCATTGAAACTATCGTAGAGGTTGTCAACTTGCTTAGTAAACGCAGCTTTTGCCAGGTATTCACTGCAGCACCCTCCTGATAGTACAATAAAAAGGAGTTAGTTTGCTTCCTTACATGATAGACTACCATATTTCTTCAGATTAGAAAATACACACTTTCCAAGGGAATTCGATAAAATAGAATGTGTGCATTTGATTACTTTATTCCTCATAGCAAAGATTTTGCCATCTCATTTTCTCATAATTGATGTTATTGACAGTGTGTTCTGCTTTTCAGACAATTCCACTTACCCTAAAGACATTAGTATTTGTGACGTAGGCTACGTAACCTGTATATTGATATGCAGTTTCATAAGTAATGAATGATGAAAATGTTTATTTGAAAACTGGATTCTGGTGATGATAATTTTGAAAACTAGCCCTCATTATTCTCATTAGCCACTTCTTTTATAAGAGAACATAATAGCATAGAGTGCAGTAGTCTTTACCTGTAGCCACTAGAGCGTTGAGGCTTGCTGCATGAGTATGGCTCATAAACTGTGCAGCCAAATTAACTTTCATAACTCTCTGTGCAATGGGATTCAAGTGGGTGTCTGCCAGTTTGTACAATTGACGAAACTTTCTGGGTTTGTCGAGTTCATACAGTTTCAATATGTGGTCCCACTTAGGAATTACAGGAAGTTGGTTGCCCAGATGCTCAGACTTCAACTGCACATCATACTTTTGGAATGGGTTTCGAGTGCACTTCAAGAGGTGGGGAGGATCATATACTGTTGCAATTTCTTGATTATGAAATCTGAAGAGTGCTTTCTTTTGGAAGCACCCAACAGTTTGAAGGCCTTGAGACCAGCATCCTGACAACCATCAAGAACCTTTTTCAAGTATTGCCGTCATCTCTGCCTTAGTGCTTCCAGGAGTAACGCAGTAAGCCACTGGTTGCTTCCACTTTCCACATGGGTCACGGATCATGAAGAGTAAAGCAGTATTTGCAATATTGCATGTCCTGTTGTGGCATTAATGCCTGTGCTAAATGTAACAATATTCAGTACAGACTGCAAGGATCGTTTGGATGGGAAGGAGACGAGTGTATGGAGAAGGATATAGGATTTAGGGATACGTTTAAGGAGAGAGAGAATTCCACCTCCTGCCCTTACGCCTCTGTCTACTGTTCCGAAACATTGGTGCCAAAAATCTGGTGGCCTCTAAAGTGAAAAAATATGAAAGACTGCATCAGTGGATCACTGTCCACGTAACGGAGGTTTTTCAGTTTCTTTCCCTTATACTAAGGGCGTTCCATATATAATGCCTCCTATTTTTTTTAAAGAAAACTACAACAGATACGGAAATCATGATAACGCAGTTAAATAGAGCAAGATTTCAGCTACTTACAGCTATTTTTCCACATAATCACCACCATTCATTATGCACTTTTGCCATCGATGAACAATAGCCTGTATGCCGTGCCCGTAAAAGTCCACGCCAGCAGAGGCTAGCCACTTTCTGACAGCTGCAGTGACAGCATTGTCTGGAAAATGTTGCCCACATAGTCCATATTTCATAGGCCCAGAGAGATGGAAGTCTGAAGGTGCTAAATCGGGGCTATAAGGTGGATGTGGTAGGGCAGTCCAGCCAAACTTTGCAATATGCACGGTGGTCATCAAACCGGTATGGGATCTAGTGTTATCATGTTGCAAGCGATAGGTTGTCTGCTTCTCGGGCCTGACTCGGGAAATATGGGCTTTCAGCTTAGTCAGCGTTGTCTTGTAGCGTTCAGAATTGACAGACTCACCAGGCTCCAGGAAATCCAAAAAAAAATCACACCCCGCCTATCCCAAAAGACCGTGCACATCACTTTCCCTACCAGTTGCTGTGTCTTGAGTTTCTTTTTTCTTGGGGAATCTGGATGTCGCCACTCCATGGACTGTCTTTTTGGATTCCGGCTCGTAGTGGTGACACCACGTCTCATCTCCGGTGACAGTGGTGTCCAGAAACTTGTCACCTTCAGCTTCAAACTGGTGCAACAGGTCCTGACAGACTTCCATTCAATGAGTTTTGTGGTCCTGTGTAAGCATCTGTGGGACCCACCTGGAACAAACTTTGCGATAATCAAGCTTCCCCAACATCGTTTCCAATGCATTACAGCCGATAATAAGCCGTGCCCACAGTTCCCTGGTCATTATCTGCCGATCTGTACGGATGAGCTGATCGAGGCACTGTTCGTTGTGAGGAGTAGCAGCTGAGCAGGGATGCCCAGGGCATGGCTTGTCATGCACTTCACTTTCGCCACTGTTGAAACGCACTACCCACCGCCTCACTGTGCTGACATCCACTGTATCATCTCCATACACCTTTAGCAAGCGTCGATGGATATCAATGGCTGCAATTTGTTCGGCAGTGAGAAATTCAATAACACATCTCTGTTTCGTATGCACTTCTATGTCAGACGCCATTTTGGTAGACTGCTCTGCTGTCGCTATCCGTCGCACGACGACAAAATTAACAGTACATTGGCGGGAAGTTTCAACCTTTACTACAACACCACCAACATCCAGCTCAGACGTTACATATTAACACAAAAAAATAGGAGGCATTATATATGGAACGCACCACGTCTTTCTTTTTTAGTTTACAAAGCGCACTCTCCTTTCCCAGAATATGTTCATATAATTTCCTTTTTCTGGGTGAAACTCTGAAAGTGAAGCCAAATTAACTTTTTCTTTTAGCAACGAATGCCTTGCTCGAGGCTTGGAGGAAGAACTTTGACAAATGATATGCCCGAGTTCCCTGTCAGAAGCATTTGTATTTACAGAACTTAGGGGAAGAGAGGTTTCTTTGACTGCATAGGTGTTGGACTGCAGACAATACATAATGAAACCATTACACCATGAATTAAAACAACATACTTTGCTGGATCCATGGGAAAGTTGAATTTATTTTAGCAGAGAATGCCCTGCTCTAGGCTTTGAGGTAGACAGTACACTGTCTTGGAAAATACATATTGAACAAATTATACCTAAATTAAGTGCAGCTTGCTATGCGATGAGATCAATTAAGCCTTTTATGTCACAGGAAACATTGAAGATGGTTTACCATGCCTACTTTCATTCTATTATGAACTATGAATTAATATTTTGGGGGAACTTTTCACATAGTGTAATAATTTTTAAAATACAAAAGAATATAATAAGAATCATTACAGGATGTAGAAGTAGAGATTCATGTAGAGAATTATTTAAGAAATTAAAAATTCTACCGCTTCAATCGCAATACATATTATCGCTTCTCCTATTTGTTGTTTACAACAAAGATAAATTCAAATTAAATTCTGATGTCTATAACATGAATACTAGACAAAAATATAACTTCCACCTACCCTCATCAACTTTATCAGTATATCAAAAAGGAGTCTACTTTACTGGCATAAAAGTGTTCAACAATCTGCCACAAAGTATTAAAAACTTGGGCAATGATACTAAAAAGTTTAAATCAGAGTTAAAGAATTATCTACATGCTCATTCCTTCTACTCTTTAGATGAATACTTCAATGTAAATAGAGAATGATGTAAAATTAAGTTATATTAATTTTTAAGCTAAAATTGCCTGTACTTATGTATGTAACATTTTGACTTGTTCTGTATCCAAAGGTACTAACCTGCTTAGGATTTATAGAATGTAAATAAATTCAATTCAAGAACTTTTTGACAGTTGGCATGCCCCATTTCCCCATCAGAAGTATCATTTGCAGAGCTTAGGGGAAAACAGGGTTCATTTGCTGCAAAGGTATTGGCTGGTGATGGTTGGATTGTAGACATTTGAAAGGGAGTGGGAAGGCTGTCTTCAAGGATAGGACCAGGTGTTACAGCAGAGGTTACAGGGGATGGACAAAAATATGGAAACATCGAACAAAAAACACATACCTGTGACTGATATGGTGTAGGACAACCTTTGGCTTACAGTCTCCTTGGAATGGATAGAGGTCCTGTGTGATTTGCAAGGGAATCTTATACCATTCTTCCTGAAAAACATTGGCAAGTTCTGTTAACGATGATGGAGGTGGATAGGGCGCACGAAGATTGCTCTCCAAAACAGACCACAAAGGCTCAATTAATATTGATGTTTGGCGATTGTGGAGGTCATGGTAGACATGACACTTCATCGTGCTCAGAAAACCAGTTCTGGACAATGTGAGCTGTGTGAACACGTTCATTGTCGTCTTGGTAAATGGCATCACCATTGGGGAACATAGTTTGCAGCAAAGGATGGACCTGGTTGCCCAAAATGGCCACAGTTGTTGGCAGTGACATGACCTTGCAGTTTAATGATGGGTCCGACAGAATACCACGATATGGCTGCCCATACTATGATCGAATCCTGCCAGGTTTCACTCTTGTCAGCAAACAGTCTGGATCGTAAGCTTGGTATGGCGATCTCCAGACGAAAACTTGGCCAGAAGTCGGAAACAGTGAAGGTGGACTCATCCGACCAAATGACCGTCTTACATTGCTCCATAGTCCATGTTTTATGACTTTGGCACCACACACTATGCTACGAACTTACTTCGTCTGTAGAGAGAATATTTGTAGGCTGGCTGCTTGTGAGGTTGGAAGTTGCTCTCCGACTGCAGGATGAATTTAACTGGAACTTTAGTCCTATCAGTCACAATTCAGGCTTTTTAATGTCCTATTGTGATCTAATTTACTCACAGTATGCTGCACTACAATAGCAACATTAAATTAAAATACACATAAACCTAACACAGTACTAATTATTCGTCTAACAGTTCCACTCAAGACAAGTCACTGTTTTCACTGAATTCAGTTGTATCATTATCACTGGAGTCGCTGTCACTGCTGTCTTCAGAATGTTGATTGATAATGCTTTCTATAGCGTTCTCTCTAATTCCCTCTTTTTCGATATATTCCTTTTCATTCTTTTCGGTGCAGTCGCAAACTTTTCCCCAATTCTCTATTCCAAATTCACTGAACCATTTCTCACACTTCTTTGCCACGTCATCGAAATGAAATGAGCCATTTTCTGCCCCTACTGACTGCTTAACATCAGCCCAAATGAGTTCATTCGGATTCAAGTCTGGATGATAAGGTGGAAGTCGTAATACCATGTGTCCGTATGCAGCCATTATGTTGTTTATTACAGAGTTTTTGTGGAGGGGTTTATGTGACTTTATCAGGCCATAGAGCTGAATTTTGAGCATTCGGTCATGAAATGGCACATTGTTCACTGTAGGGCACCCCATCATCTTAGCCCTCGTGATCTGGCTGGTTGGCGCCTTATTAAACTGCACGTTGTGATAGGGGCATTATCTACAACAAGAACTGATTTTGGACGCAAATTCAAAACAAGTTTTTCTGTTAGCCACTTCTGATAATTTGTCATGTTCATTTCGCTTGAGATGAGATTTAAATATCAACAATGACCCGGGAATGAAGCCGGTTCTACCTCCCGCGTGCACAATAATCAGCCTCTGGCCCTTCGATACGGGTGCCATGTACCCCAATCCATCCAGTTTTTAGGTCTGGTGTGACTGCTGTGAATGAAGGTCTCATCCTCATAAATTATAGTCCAACCTTCCTCCCTGTACTTCTTTATTGCATGCAAATATGCTACTCTCTTCGACCTAATGTCATCCCTCTCAATCAAGGCACCCCTGTTATTTCGCGTTTTCTTCCATTTAAAGCCCATCTTCCCTAAAATCAATTTCAGGCTGGTACTACATCCCTTGAAATTTATGGTGTCCCTGAGTTTTGGAAGTAGTTTCTTCTTGGGTGTAGAAATCATACACTGTCCGTCGAATCACATATATCGAAATCATCTGGATTTGTTACCCATTTAGGTACAGAATGGTGTTTACCAGGAGTTCCAAACATAGCGCCTTCTTTTCCATATCGAGAACTTTCATTCAGAATTCTCCGTAAACTTCTTTCCGAAACTCCGGTTGTCCTGACTACTCTCACTTGTACCTTTCTTAACGGTATCAATACATGACCTGTAGCCGCTTCACTTTTCATAAATGAATGGACGTTATTTACAACCTCTCAGGTCTGGCTGTGCAGTGTTTTGTTACCAAGTTTTGACTGAATATGTGGCATTTGTTTTCTTTTTAAATGTGGTACTGCCCAGAAAGAAATATATCAGTTACAAACAAGCAAGCGGCATACGGGAAAAGCACACAATATCTACTAATAACAGTGATCCTGCGAGCTCAGCGTCTGCCTTACTCAGGCAACATAGTGTCGCTGTGCATGCTCACCAATCTTAGACTCACTGACTTGTGTCAGACCACTACCCATCAGAGATCCACCGGCCAAAATCCGCCATCCCACTTGTAATGACGGATGAGGAGGTTGTGGTAGTGATTGTGCAGCAGAACCTGAGCCACATGGAATTGCCACTGTCTGTTAAGGATCCTTGCACGCGCGCACACTAGCTCCATTGAACCCATTTGTTGGAAGCACTGGCGATAGGCTTTTGGAATCTTCCGGATTCAATTTGATGGCCTCCATGGTTGCAAAACATAACTCGTTGAGGCCCATTTTCAGAGCAGGGAACAGCCAAAAGTCGCTCAGAGCGAGATCTGGATAGTACGGTTGTTGTGTAATGATAGGAATTTTTGTCTCGTCGAGGAATTGCTACACAATAAGCGGTGTGTGTGGCTGTGACTGTGACTGACTGACTGACTGGGTGCGTTATCGTGATGCAGAATCCTCTGTCCCTGCCATTTGTTATGCCACTTCCTGTGAAGTGAATCCGCTACCTCTGGAAAACATGCACATAGAAATGACCAGTAATACTCTGTCCCGGCGGTACGAACTCATGGTGCACCAAACCATCGATGTCAGAGAATGCAATGAATATCACTTTTTTTCCTTGGATGTGATGAGGCGTGATTTCCTTGGTTGGGGAGACACTGTGTGCCACTGATGACTGCAACTTCGTCTCCTGGTTGTAGGCGAACACCAGTGATGATCTTTTTGAGAAACGTCTGGTCCTGCGTTCTTTTCTCAAACAAATGTCCAGTGACCATCATGCGACATTCCATCTCAACTGTGGTCAGCTGCCTGGGAACATTTTGCTTCTACACGTCTCATCTTCAAATTGTCACACAGAATCTCATGAATGGATCCATGAGAGATACCAACTTCTTGCTCCACCTCCGTGATGGCCATTCTTGGATCAGATCAAATCAGTTGTCGCACTTTTTCAATAATTTCTTCGTTTCTGGTTGTCGAAGGCATGCCGCTGCTCGGGTCCTCGTCCAACGTCTCCAGTCTATTCTTAAACCAGGAAAAGCAGTCATAAACTGTGGATTTGTTTAGTTCTGTATCACCGTAAACTTGCTGCCTCTGAAGCCGATTTTACTACGAAGAAAGTCGTCTTCTGGGATCTGGCGCTGTGTATTCTTGGTTTTAACCGATGTTTCGGAGGAACGTATCGCCTCCATCTTCAGGGCAGGTGAATCGCGATGCGAATACAGAGAGCAGTAGCTGCAATGATTCGGGAGTGAAGAGCNGCTTTGTGGAGTTCTCTTGAAGGAAGAGATGAGAGGTTTCCATGACTTGTTGAGACAAAACCCTGTTTCCTTGTCCATGTTGTTCGGATGGAGCTCGATCTCAACGGCCTCCATGATGATGCGTAACGGCTCTTACAGGCGAGTGTGGCGAGATTTTACTAATTTGCACATGGGAGCTGACATGTTCTGCTCCCCACCACAACAGTGCACGCTATCTTATCTCTCATTCTCCTGTCTGCAGGGTAATTATGGGAGCTTTTCAACTGAGTGCAGTATTCTAGCAGAATCAATAGTGTAGGATATCCGAACTCTTCTTGCCCATACCATAGCCCTGTAAAAGTTTATTCTGTATTCTTTTGCTATTACCAGTATACAGCGTTGAATATTCATGCTTTAGTGATAATGTAACAAGTCTGGTTAGCACAGTCACCAAGGATTCTTAACATGACAGATGCCAACAGCAGTGGTTGCCAATCAAGCAAGCCTGATCTCCCTGAACCGAAGACGGCTCACATGTCCAAGGAAACAACACGTGTCGCCTAATTACAATTCATTCACAAACCAGTCCGAGCAATCAAACTTTTGGATATGTAGATTTTCAACATACGCTTCAGATATATATTTAATTTTTAAATTAAAGAAAATGCATGACCTAAGTCTATTTAAGACATGACCTCTGGGCCCGCAGAACCGACATTTCTGCTCTGATTAACAGTGGCATTCAACATTGAGAGTGAAAAACGCACGTTTACTATATATTTCCTTTGTTAATTAAAATTATCTGTCATATCACCAGTGGATATTATGTGTAAATTAAAGTGGACACTGCATGTAAGTGAAGGTACTACATGAAAATCCACAGGGAAAAGATTTTAAATTTCATTTAAACTTCCGAATGAATAACAAAACTTTCTTCTACTGGAGTGTAAAAGCATAATTTTATAGAATGAGATAAAAAACCTGCTATGCACTAGTTAACAGGTTCTAGTTGATATGGTGGCATGATCAAACACTGGCTAACCATTGCTAGCACTAGTTTCTTTTGCCATTGTTCAGTGTTGTTATGTCCTACCAGGTTTGACAGTTTTTTTATTTTGGTTACAGTTACTACTTACAGAAAGTTTACTACAATTAATAGTAACCATAATCATAGAACAAAAAAGAAGAAAACAACTGCTCCAAAATGCCTACCACAGTTCTGTTGCGTTGCAATGATAGTCACCGTTTTTAAAATAATTTTCAATTACAAACGCACGATGTTCACCATTCCAAGCCATGATGGCAACGGAAATAGCATGGCTGCTGCTGCTGCTCCTCCTGCTCAAAGACATATCTCCCACCACCAAAAGCACCTGTGCGACGGCAGTTTTAAATGCCAGACACTGTATGTGTAATGTCATTCATATGCAGAAATAACATTGAGATGTAACTTAGTGAGTAAACATTGACTCACTTTTCACAACATCAAAGCAAAGTCCATACTTACCAATTAATAGAAAATGCCCACCATTACCCCATGAAAGTACACATTAATTTATCCATCTGTGCAACCAACGGAGCATGAAATCGAATAGGTTTCTTAGGTGCTGTGTCATTGGTTCAGACTGACACGACACGACACAATGCGTTGTGATACGTTAGGTGTATTGTGATTGGTCTAGGCCATTCTAGACTAGCCTGTTTGATTCTGTTGCTCTTGGCTTAACATAGTTGGCAGTAACTGTGTGCGCAGTGGCGACTGCACATGTTTCTCTCTCTTGTGTGACAGGATCCTGGTGATTCACTCTACACTGACGTCCTTCCTGCGCATATTCAAACAAACTGCTCAGAGGTTCATGGTGTATCTATGCCATCATACACTCCTGCAGATTTGCAGCAGTACCACTGGTCTCCACAAGCTTCTCAGATGGACAGATCTGATTTGATCTGATCTGACCTGACCTGACCTGACCTGACCTGACCTGACCTGACCTGACCTGACCAAAGTATGCCTATGTTCACGGAGTCGCACGGCCGGAGGTCTGCCTGTTACGCCAATGTAGCTTCTGCCACATTCACAGGGAATGCTATAGAAGCACTGTGCCGTCTGTTGTGGATCTCTTTTCGGTCTGGTTTTCATGAGAGACTTCATAAGAGTGTGTTTTGTTCTGAAGATGGTACTAATGTATCGATTCCCTATCCATTTACACTTACCAGAAACACCCTTCACATATGGAATATATGTGACTACTGCCCTTGGAATTAATGACCGAGTCAATGAAACCTTGGGGATAATCGTTCAACTGAAGATTGTGTCTTAGGTTGTTAATTTCTTTGACCAAATCTCGTCGATCTTGGCATATGGTGGAGGCTCTGTCGTGGAGACTTCTAATCAAGCTTCTTTTTACACGTGGCGGATGGTTAGATTTGAAGTTGAGATACCAGCCAGTGTGGATGGGTTTCCTGTAGACTTGTGTCACCAGTGCAGTCTCTTTCCTGATGACCAGAACGTCCAGAAAGGAAATCGCATTGTCTGTCTCACTTTCCATAGTGAAGCAGATGGAAGGCCTTAAACTATTGAGGTGGTCGAAGAAATTCTGTAATCTCTCTGGACCATGAGGCCAGACCACAAATGTGTCATCCACGTATCGCAGCCACATCGATGGTTTGTATGGAGCTGAGTCAAGTGCCAGTTTCTCAAAATGCTCCATGAAGATGTTGCTAACGATGAGCGCGAGAGAATTTCCCAT